GGGGGGGGGGGGGGGGGGGGGGGGGGGGGGGGGGTTTGGGACCAACTATTCAATTGATTGTGACCTATAAATTGGTTAATTTGTGACTAATAAATAATATGTGACATAAAAAATGTGATCGTGATCGACAAATAACTTTTAGGCAATTAATTTGATAATTTGTGATTGTGAAATAAATTGTGATTTGTGATCGATAAGTAAATTGTAATTTATAAAAATTTTGATTTGTGATTAATAAATAAATTAAGACCTATAAAATATTTGATTTGTGATCAATGAATGAATTGAAACCTATAAATTTTTTGATTCGTGATTGAGAAATTATCTGTAACCAATAAAAAACTTTATTCGTGATCGGAAAATAATTTGTGATATTAATTCGATAATTTGTGACCAAATAGTATAAAATTGTGACCTTAGTTTATTTAATTAATAAAATATATTTTGATTAATTATTTCATAAATGAATTTTAATTAATATTTGATTTTTGAAGTTTTGAGCCACGTTTCTTAATTTTGAAACATGTCATACTTAATCTCTTAGATATGAAATTTTCCCATAGAAAAATTAGTAATAAACAATAATTAATATTTTTCAATGAAACTAAAAATAGCAACTAAACACTAGATGAATTAATTACTCTTTTTTTTTTTTTGGTTGGGGGGGGGGTTCCATTTTTTCAAGCTAATTACAACTATTGCAAAACATAATGCATGTTTGACCTTTTTTCGAACTAAAACATGGAAAAGACTTATGCTGCTATCTAGTTATTCTGCCTTTGAATTTCCGTATGATGGTGGCTTGGTCATTTGTGTGTGTGGTTTGGAAGTATTTGGGTGAATGGTTGATGTTGGTATTTCCTTTTCTTTTCTTAAAAAAAAAAAAAAAAAAAAAAAAATTGAGAATGGAAGATGTTAGGCCAAAGGAAAATGATGGGCTTTGATGTAGAAGCGTATAATTTGACAATGAACAAAAAGATGAACGAGAAAGAAAGGAGGTCAAAGAAGAGAAGAATTGAGGATAAAGAGGAAATCAATTTTATTTATAAAATCATTTTTGCATATTAAAATGAAGGAGCCTTCTATTTATAGAGAAAATAATCTAAAATAAAAAAGAATTTCTAATACTTTAACAAAATATAAATCTGACTTAGCCCCTGTTTGATACCCTTCTTTTGAAAAATGTGTTTAGAATAGTGATTTTTTGGAGAATTTGTGGTTAAAAAATAAAAATAAACGTTGCGATTTATGTGTAAAATTATTTTATGGGAGAACATGTAGTTGAAAATGAGTTTTTGAAAAGTGGGTTTTGGGAAAAATGGGGGTCAAACAGGGGCTAATCTAATTTAATCAAATATAATTTGAATTAAACTCTATTTTAAATAATATCTGAATCCTATCTTAGCACTATCTCTATCTCCATTAGTAGCACTCCACTGATATACACCATCAACAACGCTTTTTAGGTATGAGATCTTGTAAAGAATTAGGAAATCTAGCAACTACTACCCAGTACTAAGAACCATAGCATGGGGGGACACCTTATTCTTCTGCCTCTGCGATGCTGGCTGAGTGAGAGTGACCAATCAAATATATAACTGATAAGAGATACCACTATTTTTTAATTACTAAAGATTAGACAAAGTGAGTCTACTTGATCTTCATAGCAATGAATGATTTTGTTGAGGAATATGTTCATAATTTATCAATCGAGATTATCACTTCTATTTCTCTTTGTACAGCACTCTGTTGCAGTACATTGCAAGGACACTCGTATCTTCATTCTTATTTCAAAAGTAATTAGGGTCCAGTTATTGAAGCTGCAATTATGAGAAATTGATCTATGTTCATTTTGAACCCATTTTGTGCAGATTAAAATGTCCCAACCGCTTGTGGAAGTTTGAACTTCACAATTTTGTTTCCTTCACTAACATTAGCATAATATTTATGTTAAAACGTGCTAATGAAACAAATTTATAGTGGAATTTTCATATTGAAGCTGGAAGAGTCGCAAGTTGACATCTGTTTATGTTTCACTTGTTACTTATTTGACGACTACTATATTATGTAAGCGGTGTGACATTGACCTGTTTAGGGACGTACCTCTGAAAACTTTGTTACGCTCTTTATCTATGTTATCTTCTTTTGCTAATACACATATATGAATCTTCACATGCTTGGGGAAATATCAAGTATGTAGATCAGTCAATGGCTCGCTAGCTCAAGGACATGTACTTTTATTGTCTATATCTTTAGGGATATTATAAATAAGTAATTTTTTATTTATGACTTACGAGGTAAATTCAAATATGTTAGGAAAAAAAATTGTTATATACTTATTTCATTTTATATTCTTGTTCTACTTGTGTTGGATATCATTTGAAACTTCTTAACATATTTCTGTTCCAATTATATATCTGTATTTTTCTTCCGGTAGTTTGATCCACTTTATAAGTGAACCTTATATATAAGTAATTTTCTGTTAATAAATTTCCTTGTTAGTTTACTTTTTCCGTAGTCATTAGTGAAAGTTCCATTTTTTTTTTCTATTTCTTTTTGCCAAAAATTTAGTTAAATAAGTTATTTGCCAATCCTTGCCAAGTAGCTAAGTCGAAATTTTTTAAAACACAGTTTGTATAGTGTAACTACATCCTATGTACTGTTTTGCATATTTTTTTAATATAGACTTGGTGGAATTTCTTATTTGTTAACGCTTAGGGAAAGTAGTATGTAAATTGTTTCTGAAAATATGGTGTGTGAAATGCAATTACTCTCCTATAGACTCTGGGGCGTGTAGTGTAAATTTCCCATGTCCCTCTACCTTCTCGTCTCTGTTCTGGTTTTATACAAGACACTTTTTGTATCCTATGGAGATCCTAAATTTGCTGGTAGTCTATAAAAAGTTTGCAATGGCCTTTTTGGCTTGAAGTATGTGTCATATGTGGGTAAATTCATGTTTTGCTGGTACAAGTGCAGGAATCTGAATGGCTAAGAGTGACTTTGCACAAATGGTTAGACGATGAGTATTGCCCAGAGCCAACTAATGTTGAGATAAGCAACATTGCTGCCACCACGTACTACAAATCCCTGGTCGAAAAACAAACTGATCTGGGAGAGATTTTGTTAAAAATGGCAGTAGAATTAGAATCCATATCCTATCAAGAGAGCTTCCATGGAGCATTTTCATCGGCAAATGCAGCAGTGAATCTTATCATTCAGCGGATAGCGCTGGAGTAGTTGCTCGACTTTGCGAAGGTTTGAAACTTATTTTCTGTAAACACGAGTTGGATGTATCTAATTGTATTATCAGTTCGACAATAAATCAGCAATGGATGTGCATTTTTTGCCTTCATATTTTGTGTTGTGACTTGAAAAATGTGTTTATAGTAGTATCATTTATCTGAAAGAACGATCATCATAGCAAATTCTTCTTCATAGCAAGTCCTACGACTTGTCATTTGTTCAAAAATGAGAATGATGGACCTCATATCTAACACAACTAAAAAGAATTGAATTCAATATCTCTTATGAATTACCATTATGTTTAGACACTTAATTTTGTAGTTATTGCGTTTAATGATAACGTGTTTACACAGTTCATATCCTGAAATAAAGGTAAAAATAAAAAAAAAAATTTATTCTCACAAAATAAGTATCGATATATTAAAACTTAGTATTTAGTGTGAGTTGTGATTGAAAAATTTATATAAATGGGAAACATTTCGTGATTGGGATATTCTATCCATCAAAATTTGCATAAATCTACGTGTAACCAAAAACAGATTAGCATAAAATTAGGTATAACCTGAATTAGCATTGATGCTAAGACTATATCGGATTGAGCTCTTGGAAGTTTGGTATCAAATGATAAAGTTTGATTTAAATAAAGGCCTAACCGTAGAGTGGGCATTTGGTCTAGTGGTATGATTCTCGCTTTGGGTGCGAGAGGTCCCGAGTTCGATTCTCGGAATGCCCCTTCTCCCAACTTTTGTTGGCTCTTTTTATTTGCTTTCATTTTGTGAAATAATCCATCTTGATTCATCAGGCTAAAACAAAATGGATAGAATAAATTTGATATTATAATATTCCCGTTCATTTTTCTTTTCTTGTGAGACCTCAAAATAGTAACGAAAACCAAAGCGGGAAAAGAAAAAATTAAAGGCAATAAGAAAGGTTGAAAAAAAGAGAAAGAGGGGCATTCCGAGAATTGAACTCGGGACCTCTCGCACCCTAAGCGAGAATCATACCACTAGACCAAATGCCCTCTGTGTTAATCCATTTAATTTTAAATTTAATTTTGATTAAAATAGAAATTAAATTCCCTCCAAAACATCCGAATAATTGGTTTCTTCATATTTATTAATCATTTTTTTCCCTCTAAAACACTATTTCTTAATTAGTACTTACAATAATTCTAATCTTTGAAGCTGAAATGACGTGCTTATGAAAAAATTGGACAGTAGATTCTTCCATTTTGTGTGATTCCTGGGGTAAAATGATCGTCTATTACTGAAGTATTTAATGAAATTTCTTTGTTTTTTTGATCATATCAATAATTGCCCTCTGCGTTTTTACGAAATAAAATTGAGATTTCTTCAGTGATTTTGATGATTATTGGTTATTATGATTACTTTCAAGCTTGTTGAATGAGTTTATGCTGGGCCCAAACAGAAAAGAAAAAAAAATGAAGTATTTTTTAGTTTTATGCTGTACCCAAACAAAAACGGAAGTATTTTATTAATTTTCGTGTATTTTAATTGCTGTTAGATGGTTCTACCGATTCTTCTGATAACATAAGCTTTATTGATTTGGGAAAAGGAAAATTTAGGTTGAAGTTAGGATGGAGAATGAATATCAATATACTGTTCCTTCTGATGACACCGTTCCTTTGGGGAATCCTAAGCCAGAATTCGGAGTTTTTAAACTTGGCACGGATACAAAGGTTTTGGATGTACCTGATTCGCTTGAAAATTTTGAAGCTCAGACTGAAGACGACACAGCGAATGAAGTGGTACTTGACAGTGATGAGGAACGAGGACACAATAACGAGGCCATGAATTTGGTGAATACGGTGAAAAGGAAGCAATCGACTGCTGGTAAACAAAGCCATTTGCTTTTTGAATTTGAAAATAAATTGTTGAGAGCTTAAAACAATTTCCTTGATTCTGCTGTTTTTCGTTCAATTTGCATTGCTAAATCCTGAAGGATGAGAACGTGTTCTTATAATAGTTACATACATATCATCTCACAATGAATAGTACAAATCGTTATCATGATAATATCATGTGCAATGCTTTTGTATTGATTCTGACATTAGGGTAATGAGGACCCGTGAGCATTTAAAGTTAAAATGTATAGATGAAATGTTTAAAGTTTTATGCATATTGACATAAAATGATGTATCAGCAAAAATTGACTTAAGTACTTATGAACATGATGAAGGAATTCTAGACTCGTTTGTTTTTCATTCAAAATTCAGTTTGTAATTTCTCTGTCATTAAGTTGACTTAGTTCAATATTTTTCCTCTGTCGCAGGTTATTTAAGGAGGCTGCATAATAGAGTTTGTGCACATTCGTTTCAGCACGTTGATTCAGCTAGAAGAACTGGATGCAATGAAGAAAGTAATGCTGGGCATACTTCGCTTGACACTGGTACCGGATATCAGGAACAATCTATTACTATTAACAACGTACTATCCAGCACTGCTAATCGAAATTCAATTCCTATGGAAGGAAAAGAATCTCACAACCAAGCGTTGAGGAATGTGGCGAGGGGAAGTTTTTCTGAAAAGTTTCTTGATGAGAAAAGGTTGTCATCAGATAAGTCTCTTGACATGGAAATAGAAAAGGATGTAACTTATGAACACAGGTGTGCAAGGTATAACCACATGGAATCGCCAGAATCAGCAGAATTGTCACAATCTAGGGCCTTAGACTTTGTTGATCACTATCTGTCAGTTAGTGATTTGAACTTGTGTCAAAATGTTGAAACTAAAAGGACTAACAGAATAAAATCGCCAGCATCTTTGAGGTCAAAAGGGACTCAAAGTTTGGCGAGGAGAGTAAATCTTGGAATCATTGATTGTGACTCTGCAACTTTTGACTGGGTGGGAAAGGAAAATGCGAATAGTAGGTCCACTTTCTTTGGATGGGAAGGAAACAAATCAAGAGCTGCATCTGTCCATCAGGAATCTGTTATTGTTGGCTTGCAGAAGAAGAGCTTTCTGCTTCAGTCCAAATATCAGCTCACGGGAAATATTTCAAGTTCAAATAATTTAGGTACAAAAATAATTTGCCCTGATGAGATTGACAAAGTAGCCTCAAACTCAGAAGTGACTGATGAAAATAATTTTATAGAGTTGGATGAACAGTTTGGTGTAGGACAATTGGAGCAGCAGGTACAAAAGCTTGGCGATGAAAGGGACACATCAGAAATCTTTGATGTTGGTTTTGACACTCAAATGGCCGTTGAAGCTATGGAAGCATTAAGATCTGCGCCTCCACCTACATCTAATGCTGATTTTACTTGTCAAGATTTTGATGACACATTAGTTAACTCTTCTGAAGGTGCAAACAAGAAGCATAAATCAAAAAATTGCACTTATCTTGAGAATGATTTTTTAGGTTCAGCTGACAAACGAAAACCGACAAAGCGTGTGAAGAGATCTGCTAAAATGGTGTATGAAAATATATCTTGCTCGCTTGATGAACACTTCGAAGGCCAAAGCGGGGCTGTGTCTCCGTTATTACCAAAGAGAAAATTGATGATGAAGGAGCCATTGACTGAGAAGGACTTAAATGGTAGAAATCCTGGAAACAAAAAGAATAGCAACTGTGGAAGGGCTCCTAGGACTGTAGTACAACACAAGGAAGATGAATTTACTGAAAAAATTAATTTGAAAGAGGTTCGAAAAAATAAGTTTTTATTAGAATCTATTGGATGTAACTCAGATGGCCAATGTTCAAAAGACAAATCCACCAATCCTTCACATGCTGCACGGGTGTCTGGGCACTATTCATCAGTGATTTCTTTTGAAAAGGCTGAGGATTCAATTGATAGTTCTGAAGAGAGGACAAATGATATTATGAAGTCTGGTGCTCCTCTGCAAAGAAGAAATATGACTAGCTTTCATAAGGATGTGTGCAAAAGTGGAGTTAGAGGGAATTGTTTGAAGTTGGATTCTGTTTCATGTTTCAAGGATATATCCCCCCCTTTGAAACATCAAGAAAAATTAAACCTAGTTGTTGGGAGTCCTTTAAAGTTAAATCCCTGGATTTATCCAAGACGGAAAAGAACACGACATAATGTGCCTTGCCACTCAAATAGTAACCAGCTTCCACCGAGCATGATAGTTCATGAGAAAAATGAGAATACATGTCATAAAGTGAGTCGCAAAGCATGCAAGAAAGTAGCAGGGCATTTAGTCCATTCCCGAGAATTTCAATTTTCACCAGAAAGAAACCATTTTGCAAGCTTGACAAGGCAGCATATAGGTGATTGGGATTGCACGGGATTTAATAATAATGTATCTGCTACCACAATGGTACGGGTTCCTGTCGACCTTGATAGATCCGTAACGTTGAAGCAATCTGGTAAACTAGATGGAGGGTGTCCCATACCCTTTGTTGGCACTTCAGGTATCATGAAGTTGGATGCATTATCAAATGGGAATTCTAAGGGTTTTAAAGTATATGAGTGTGGCAAGAAAAGCAAGCGACCACGCAACAACCCCTCTAGATCTCCCCTAATGAAAGAACTTGTGAGATTGGGATACTCTGAATCTCTACCAGATATTTTTGCAAAAGATGTAAGAAGACGAAAAGTTGCGGCAAAGGCTTGCATCTTGTTCAGCCAGAACTTGGACGCCAATATACTTAAGCAGCAGAGAAAGGTTTACATTTGTCACTTAATCAACATTCTAGTTGCTTCAAACCTAATGTTACAATTGACCAAAGGTCGTGTACCTACTGGTAATTTTGTCTGGCAGATTGTGGCACGATTAGGCTTTTCGATTGCATCATGTTGCTCAGATGCTACTCATTTTGTAACTGATAGATTTGTGAGAACTAAGAATATGTTGGAAGCCATTGCTCTTGGAAAACCAGTGGTGACACACTTATGGCTGGAGAGCTGTGGACAAGCTGGCTATTTCATTGATGAGAAAGGTTACATTCTGAGGGATGACAAAAAGGAAAAGAAAATCGGATTCAGTATGCCTGTTTCACTGACTCGTGCATGCCAACATCCACTTCTAGAGGTAATATATAGTTTGCATCTGGACAAAAATCCATTGCTTCACGAAAGGTTTTGCATGCACTGAAAATAAGTGCTTTAAGACTTATTTTCTTCCAATTAATAGGGAAAGAGAGTCTTCGCTACTCCAAATGTCAAGCCTGGTATAGATGTGATATATTGCTTGGTGATGGCAGTTCATGGACAGGTATATATATATTTGTGGCCTTTTCTTTGGCTACGCTGCACAGAGTTACTGTAAGATATCATAAATCATGATCATCAACTAGGTTCCAGATATACAGTTTGCTCTGTATAAATTAGGAAATATAGCTTGACCGTTTGAGGATATAATTTTATAAGGACACAAAGAAGACAAGGATGAAGCTTAATGTCCCACGCTTCTCACATATTTTAGTTCCTGAGAAAAGATTAATTGATTCTCCAATTCAATATGATTGCAGAAAATACTACGCAACTTCATGAAAAACTGAGTTTTTTTATGAAATGTTCCTCAGGCAGTCCAACAATTACAGTGTGCAAAAAGAAAGGATCACGGAATTCCAGATGATTTGTTAATTCTCTCTTGTGAAGAAGATTATATGATGTGCGTGCCATTTCTTGAAAAAGGTATGATTTCTTTACTTGTTTTCTCCTTCCTTTTGACGAAACACTACTCCTGAAGCAACTATGTCGCATTATTACATTTACATCTGCAGGAGCTTCCATCTATAGTTCAGAGCTTTTGCTGAACGGGATTGTAATCCAGAAACTGCAATATGAGAGGTCAGTATAACAGCAAAAGCATATAGTTAGAACTTGGATGCTTGAATTTGGCTTTTCGGGAAGGATCTTACGTCTGTGGATTCAAATTCCTATATTTTTAGATCCATGGATCTGAATACATTATTTGCATAACAGAAGGTTTGAATGAGTATTTAACATCTTATATGGAATAACTACAAAAGTGGATTTAAGCAATGTTCTAAAAGGCGTAATGCGTGGCAATGCATTGAGGCCAAGCTATGGGCAACAGGAGCTTAGGCGAGGTTTAGGCATAAAAAGGCGTTTTCTTATTTTAATTTTTAAAAAATCGAAAAATTATTTAATAATTAAAAATAATACTTACTAAACATTTAAAACAGATTTATAGGAACGTTATACATTTTTTCAAAGTTTCCAATAAAAAGATAAGTTTCAAATATAAATACAAAATAGTAAATAAATAGTATAGGAACTTAAATCTTATCTAATTTTTTATCGGACTCCAATTCAATATTCTCTTCATCTAATTCGTCATCCGTGTCTTCCAATACAAGCGGTTGTTTTAAATTAGGGCAAAATGAAGAAATTATCCATTGATAATTTTTTAACACCGGAAAATTTTAAAAATGATGATAATGCGGGCCTAGGCGCGCCAATCGTTGACCGCCAAATAAGGCGCCAAGTCATTTGGCTTGGCGTTTTGGCCGAGCATCATGCTTAGGCGCCACCTTTTAGAACACTGGATTTAAGAAATCATAGTGAAATTAGTAAGATATTAGATTCAATAAGAAGAATACATTTCGAATATCATCTAATTGAAATCCATAAGATACATAATCATCGAAATGATTAAAAGGATCCATGTATATATGCTAAACTTTACTCCCTGTATTACTCACACCGGTTTGCAAATTGCGATGTGAAAATCACAGTTCTTCATGTTTTTCTTGCCAAACTCAAAGCAAGGTGGATCAATTTTCTCTAAATTGCTTTCTTAATCTATTATTTTACTCTCTGGTGCTACATTGCACTCTGTCTTTCTTGCATCTGCCTGATGTGCTCGTGTACAAGTAATTATGTGTATAAATATAGGTAAATGGTTACAGATTTAGAATTTAAATACAAGAGTGGACTTTATCTTCTTTTTGCTGCTTTTTTCTTGAATGCACGATTAATTAGCACTCTGAAGCTGAAGACAAAGGCCACATGGCTTGATTCCCGTACTTTGATTTGGACTTTTAGACCTGAATAAACTTATAAGAATTTGGAGGAGACTCTTTGTTCTTTTTAAATTTCCAGACGCTAGAACTTAACAATGTATTTATAATGTTGTGTTTATAACTATTTAAAATAATAATTTCATGAATCATGATCCTATTGTGATGTAGATTTTATTGGGCTAATCAGTATTTTACTTTTGAACTGTATACTGTTTTAATCATTTGTTATATTTCACTAATGCAGGCATCAACTTTTCAAAGAATTTGCTGAAACGAGAAAAACACGTCGCTCTTAGACCTGGCTCATATTATTACTGCCTCTTGCTTTTATTCCTCGATTATTTCTTTTGGAATCAACTAAGGGTACTGGTGCAACCACCTGAGGTGATTGCTTCTTTTTGTACAAAATGAAATCAATCTCTGTTTTGGGTTATAACTCAAGTACATATGCTGGTGCGTCTCAATTACTGAAAGATAACAATAAGGTAGTATGTGAAATTGGGATTGTATTGAAACGAATGCTAGTTCACACTTGAGTTATGGAAGAGTTTGTTTCAAAAGGAGGGTTCCTGGCAAGTGTGGCTTTTAATAGGGTTTTTTGAAGAATTTATGTTTTCAACTTGTGATCTTTGATTCATGAGCAAATTTTATGATTCTTTTTCCTCAATTTTGTAGCTTCAATGCCTTCAAAATTCTGCTTCTCCAGAGATGTTCAGAATCTATTGTTATTTTTTTTTTTGCAAGAGATGGTGAAAATATAGTTGTTTCTTTTTTTCTTTTTTTTTTTCTAGACTACACTTGATTTAAAATTAAAAAATAAAAATAAAAATACAACGTTAGAGTAAGCATATGCTCAACACTAACTTGGGATCTTTCAGAACCAGAATTTGATTTGCAACTTGTTATATCCTTTTATTTCTTCCTTTACAAATAAAAAATTCTTAATGGAGGTTGGACAAAGATAAAACAGAAATGGTGATTCTTGAATGCTACGTTTGGGTTGGATGACTTATCATTTACTCATAACAAGAGCGCGAAAAATCCAATGTTTCTTATCACACCATTTTAAGCTTGGAAAACTTCTTTCTCTCCAATGCACACAGCTTAGTTCAAGGCCTAGAGGCAGTTTCCAGGTATTCGGTGGTGAGCTCTCGGCTGAGAAAATCATGTACCAACCTGAAGTCCCTATTCGGTTTCATGTATCATTACACTGAGGGTGTCCTAAAGTTTCCCTATTGAACTCTGGTAGGGAATTGTAAGTAGTCTGGCTTTGTCTAAGAGAATGAAGAAGTTTAATTGCATAGATGGTAGAGTTCTGTAAAAGAGAGAAAAATAAGATTTAAGCTGATTATGGCATGTTTGTTATGCCAAATTATTTGTTGGCACATGTTATTATCACTCTCGTCATTGCTTTCACTTGCAAAGAAAATAGTAAGTTGAATTATGGAAGCAAGAGCTTACATTGAGAAATTGATAGTTCGTCCTTCCCCAGTGGCAAGCATTAGCTAGTCTATATGTGTAGATGTAGTAGTTTTGATTTATCGATTTTCAATCTTTGTTTGGGTTATTAGACCGATTGTAACATTAATTCTGTAAGCTCGATGAATGCCCCAAGTAGCTGTACTCACAATTTGATCAATACAATTTATATCCCTGATAGAGAGGGAAAAAAAAGTGTGACTTGGTAAGTCTCAAGAGCGGGGTCAAGATTGAGCTAAATCCTGTTGATCATCATAAAAGTGGTTTTACTGCACAAGGAGTTCTCGAATAAGAACAAGAGGTTTAATGATAGTAGAACAAGTTACGTGCGAACTGAAAATGAAGATGGAAAATTTTCTCTCAAATAACGTTCTTGATCTGGTTCAATCTATTTTATTCTATCAAACCAAGCATATTTTTGTGACGCAATCTCCTATTCTATGAGATCCTCAACTTATTTGAAACTCATCTTTGTGATAATAGTTGATGGTGAAATGAATCACTGAAGGAATTCTTTTTATAAATCTTACAAAAGATTTCACTACTTTATTATGCTTTTGAAGTTGAGATATAACCTTGTAGTATCTAATAATAGAAACAGATTTATTTTTTATACCCAAACCATGTGGTCTCAACTCTCTTGCTCGTCTCATTTCTGTTCTCTATTTGCAATTCAAATGTGGTCCATGCCTCCTACTTTTTTCAATAGATACAACCCGAAGTTGAAGATTAGAGGAAGTACCAATGAGTGCTACTAGTACTGTCTCCTAAACTGGTGTTAAATATCATTACATTTTTTTAAATAATATTTTCAACAACCGTGAGTGAAGAAAGTTTAGAATTTTAAGAGAACAATTATCTCTCGACCTAGATTTTGCAATTTCAACTTAATATATTGTCCCTCTTCCCCTCCCATCAACTCGTCTTTCTTTACATGAATCTTTATGATAATGCAGGGCCCTCTTTCATAAGCATTTCCGATTCAGGAACAGGAATAGGGATTGAAAATGTGGATGATAGAAAGATCTCCTATTTGTGAACCAACTTTCTGATTTCCACAGTTACTGTTGGTCACCAGATTTTATTGATGTTCCTGCACTTGGCAGAGCAGACAACCACGGCAAAAGGATACCATCTCCTAATCAAGGCTGTGGAGCCAGCAGTCACAGACGCAGAGAACTCACTTACCCATGGTGGGGCATGGCAAGATTGCTTATTGAGGGTTTATTGCTATATTTTTGGGAGTGTACTAACAATGTCACTTATACTGGTATGATGGCAAGCTTTCTACTTACTGTGCTGATGTTGCATATCTCAGCTTCCCAGCACATGCGGCCGCCTTGGGGTGTCCCAAAACCTCGAGGGCCGAATGGGTAGTCCTTTATGCAGTGCTGTTCAGTATGGCTAAATGTCCATATCTCGAGCAACCATAACACATTCATAACACAGCTGATCTTCCGGTTAAAGAAACCTGAATGGGTTGCAGTCCCGTCTGGTGGATAAATTTTTATGTTTTGACAAGTATAATATGCTGCCAACATTTCAAACTTGATACCTCTCCCTTGGGCACAAGGGCGTTATCATTCATAAGCTCTTGAGCACTATCAAAGTTCAAAAATGAATATTATGTTATGGACATCATATCATTGCTAACTTCTCATTTTGGTAAACAGATCAGATTAACAGAATAGTTCATAGAATGCAGTAAAAATAAAATTTGATCTTAAATTTCACAGGCATGGAGAAAACAACACTGCTCTTAATAATGTGCTGGAAAATGATCTCAATTCTCAATACATTATAAAATACTTCCTACAACAATTTGTGTGAACCAAAAATGATCAAAATAAGCAGTTTAACAAAATTCCACGAGGATGGCTATGTTTCTTCAAGAGGCCAACACTGATAATATAAGAACAACGGTAGAGCTAACAAAAGAAAATTTCAAACCCGTTCTCATTTTCAAGGAAACTCCAGAGAACAAGAAGTCAGAGAAGTACCAAATAATCGAGAGAGACTGTAAAGTTTATCTCCTTGCAGCAATCCTAAGCATTGGAGAGATTATACCCTGTATTTCTTGCATGGACTGTTGTATTCTGATTTCCTCTTCAACATCTCTCTTCATATTTCTAATATTACCTCTTAATTGATCAGAAGATTTTATATCATCAGCTCGCATTTCAACAACCTTCTCCGTGAACCTCATCAAAAACCTGGCATATCTTGGCACTGTAGAGTACTTCTGCAGAAATCCCAATAACAATTTGAGCTCTTCTTCGTCCAAATTAGATACACATTTCAGCAACTTCTTCCTAGCCACTAACTCCTCCATGACAGCCACCACATTCTCTGGATTCTTCCCACTCAAAGCCGCCACCAACGCCTCCTTATGCCTAAACTTCTTCAATAACTTATCATACTGGGCGAACTTCAATTTCCTTGGTCTTGTAATCAAGTAATCCCCTCCCGAAGGCTTCGTATTTTGTCCTCGATGGAAGTACCTAAACCTCGTAGGCCTTAAAACCCTTCTATCAGTTTCAACCTCTGCATCTCCCAAACCTACAACATCTCCCGGGCCATCACTCTCCAAGTTCGTTTTCCTCCTTCCAATATAAAAAGTTCCATTTGAAGTCCCAATCACTCGCGTTGAACAATCTGGTGAGAATCCCACTGACAGAAGAGGATTTGGAAACCTCATGGAATGAGTAATCTTGAACTTTGCATAATCGAAAACCTTCATATAACCATCTAATGAAACACTCAAAATTCTGTACTGCTGAGCCTCTTCTCCACCTTCTTTTCCAATTTTCCCGATGCAAAGCGAAGTCACAGTCTTGTTATGACTCTCCATTGAATACAACAATTTTCCACCTCCAATCACATCCCATATCTTCACAAAATTACCACCTGCAGTGGCAATTAAGCCACCAGATGGCAAGTAAAGCACGCTTTCAACAGGTTTTTCATGGTTTAGTTCCATAACAGACCCTGAATTCGAAACCCGAACATCCCAAATTCTTACCTTGTGGTCATAAGATCCCGATGAGAACATATCATCACTCACAGGGGAAGCATCACCACACCGGACATAGTCCTTATGGCCCAAAAGATCAAATAGACACGTCTCAGTAGTAACATCCCAATACTTCACAACAGAATCATCACCACCAGAGAATAAATGAAACTTATCATCAGCGCGTGGGTAGCGCACAAGACGAGCCGCCGCGGAGTGACCCTTCAGACGGCGGAGATGGGTCCGGGACTTCGAATCAAAGACATGCACAGTCCCAGTCAAATCTCCGGCAGCAAGAAGCTTCCCATCACAGCGGAAGGCGGCGGAAGTAGCGGAATCGGCAAAGGCAGAGGCGATGGTTGACTTAGGCTCAAGGGTTTTGCCAGAAAAGATAGAAACATTAGCGGAATGGGTGGCAGCGAAATCATGAGGAGCAACTGGGGAAAACGCAATTGAAGTTATAGGGTAAACTACGGACTTTGATGGAGTAAATTCAATGTCTTTAGGGATTTTGAAGGATTTCCAGTACTTGGATTCTGGAGTTGGTGTGGCTTTATTTGACGTGGGTCGGAGCTTCGGCCTCACACGGAAAGTTTTGGCTATGGAGATTCTCGATTCGTCTTCCGCCATCGATTGAGTGTAAAGGAACAGAGTAAAATTTTTTTAGGGTTTATGGTTTTGGGAAGATTATATGTAATTGTAGTAATATATAAGCGGCGTCGTTTATGTTCTTAAATTTTTCTTTTTTTAATTGTATTTTTATATCAAAGAAACCCACCCCGGGGATTTTAATCAAAAATAAAAGGGATGCTTCCTCCTTGGGATTCTTTTTGGAAACATGTTACGTCCAAACAATTTTCACAAAATTTTGTTCACAGATGAGTACGTGGCAAAATTTCATTCATTTCGATCAAACAAAAAAAAAAAAATGCAACTTAGCAACTGTATGGTGCTTGTTTTAAATGTAAGTATTATGTCATAAGTTCAATTAACTTTGGACATAAATATTTTTAATATATAAATGATACATTGTAAGGCAGATCTATTTACTTAATATTCAATTAAATTAAATAATAGAGTCCGTAGATTCAAATCTTGATAATTTGTTAATCATAAGGAATTGTTATTGTGAGATATAAATTACATATGATTGAATCTTAAATTGTCTGTGATCGTAAGTAATAACGAGATACGGATATCGTTATTACG